CGGCGGCTGACTGAGCCCAATATCCCTCCGGGGTTGATCAAATGAGCGCCACTTTGCAGAAAAGATCGACAGTGGCTGCCCTGTGATCGACTCGTCCGTATAACGGGAATGTGTAATTCCCACGCTCCGTGGCTCTGCAGGGCTATCAACAATATACGCCTCAATGCTCACTTGAGAGACAAATCACCCCGACGGTGCCTTGCGTTTGGTTCTTCGAGCGTTAACAGTGTTTCCCATCGTGCAGCAGTTCTGACGCAGCCAGCTGAGATCTCACGAGAGAGACGTCCCGAGCGGTGGTTGGGGGGGGGGGGCGGGGGGGGGCACGGCGACGCGGGAAAACTGGGCCGAGCACCCGGGGGGGGAGATGGGGGCCTCCACAGAAGCTTCAGGAAGTTGTGGTCGGTAAAGTTAGGAGGAGGGGGGGAGTGGAGCAGGGTAGGGGGGGAGCAGAGGGAGGGAAGCAGAGAGGCGGTGATACAGGCGCTCAGCCCTCTAGGAGCTGCACCCGAGGTGGACGCCTTGGATCGCCCCAGGTGTCATCCATCACGCGTCACCCGGGATCCACCCGCCGCGCTAATGAGCCCCGCGCTGAAGGACGGCTCTGCCTCTGCTAACCCCTGCTGCTACTGCTGCTGCTGCTCTTACTACTGCAGCTCCAGCTTCTTCCGCTGGTGCCCCTGCTGCTGGAGTTTCTGGAGCTGGTGCGAGACCTGCAGCAGCCGCCAGTACTCAGTGGGCTGCATCTCGGGCGCCAGGTCGCGCTGCACGGTCGCGTGGCGGCTCGCGTGGCCCTTGACTGGCGCGGCAGGATCGGCCACCTCTCCAGCATCTTCCTCTTCTTCACGCTCCTCCTGCTCCTCATCCTCATGCTCCTTCTCGTGCCTATCCTCCTCCACTTTATGTCCATCTCTCTGCTCGTCTTCCTCCACCCACTGCTCTTTCTTTTGAGCCCGGGGTCTCGGTATGACCTCCGTCGGGCCCCGTGCCGTGCGCTGGACGCAGGGACCATCTGATGTGCACGTGGGGACCAGCTGATTGCTCAGCCGATCGGTTGACGCCCCCGACGATGCGGAGAGTGTGGGCGAGCTGCAGGTCGCGGAGGTTTCAGAGTCCCCATCTGTGTCCGACTGAAACAAAAGAACACACAGCCTAGAACACCTACAAGGAATATCCAAGGGGGACCCAATTGGAGTAGCCAGGGTAATGTATACTGTTACTTCAGGGGACATAACACAAATCTTGACCCCTCTATCTCGAAGTTGTGGTGGAGGAGTTCCCTTGTGAGCGACTCACGTCGCGTGTTGCGGGTGAGGGGTTGTTTACACAACGGAATTCGCTATTTTCTGCGCTTGTTTAAAAGAGACTTTAGCCTCCACGGACTCGTCACATGATCACAAACAAAGCACATGAAACAGCGCAGGTGGCAGGGAGCAGCGGTGTTAATGCCTGTGCCTCGAAGCAACGAGAGCCTGGGTTTGATCCACGACTCGGGCGCCTATCTGTGTAGAGTTTGTATGTTCTCCCCCTGTTTTGCATGGGTTTCCTCGGGGCTCTGCGGTTTCCTCCCACAGCTATAAAAACCCATACAGTGTAACTGGCTAAGCATCCCAATGGAAATTATGGAATTGAGATTGCACACAGCTGCATCGCCCCTACTGCAAAAAAAAAACTTGGTAGGACCCCCCCCCCCTGAAAAGGCGTCTTGAGACTCAGCTTTCCTGGGTAAACAAGCAAAACAATAATGAAATAATATGAAAGACATACGGTGCTGATGCTTCTTTGTTGGTAGTGGTGCAAGAGTACAACAACGACAACAACTCAACACGTTCGTCAATAACACTGCGGCTTTAAAAGGGGAAACTATATATACTGTATAGCCGACGTTTATGTCAATAGCCCTCCTTCATATCACACGAAGATGAGCCATTGGCACTTCACGCGTGCTACATGAAGAAGGGTCGTTGACCGAAACGTCGCCTATTATACAAACAGAAACAAAAAAAAATATGAATCGTTCTTTTTCCCGATGATTCCAGACTTATGTGCCACCCTGTATACCTGTTCCAATGAAGGCCACACACAGAGTATTTTATAATAACAGCATAGCGGTCACTGCCGTGGCATTGCCTTGTAGCGTTGTGAGGCCCAGGTGACGCACACCGCAGTCTGCAGTCTGGCTGTGGCTGACTTATTGAAGTCAGAGTTGGTTTCTGCTGCTCACACGAGGCACATTGAGGCAATGGTGCTCATCTCATCTCTTCAGTCCTGCATAGCCGGTGACTGTGGACATTACACATTACTATGACCGTAGGAAATCCACTGTTAATCCACCTCCGCAAAGTAGTACCCATTTTGTCGACCGTGGAGGGATATGATGATGGGCCGAGTCAAACCCTGCCCAACTGAGGCTTGAACTGGCCACCTTCAAATTGCGCACCGCTCGCTCTGCTGCTGAGCCGCGTCACCAGCCGATTAGTGAATAAAATTACTGCCAATCGGCCAACAACAACTCCCCACGCCATGGTGGGGGGGGGGGTGTTTTGCCCTACTTCACCACGGTGGTCAGCGCGGGTTGGTGAAGGCTGTGACTTCTAAAGAGATACAAATACAATGAAACCCAGTATAGCTATAACAGACTGTTGGGGCAAGTGCTGTCAGCGAGCACCTATGAATGGCAGCACGGCACACGAGGGGGTGGATGGCCAGCACCACGCCCGGCCGCCTTTGTCTCCCCAGTGGCGATGTTTACACATCGCACCAGGTACTCATTTAAGGCTGAATCGACCTAGGGGAAGCGCAAGACTGGTTTAGATAATCGCCACTGGTGTTGGCCGTGAATCGAACTCGGGTGGCCACACACCACACACACGTGCACGGTGCTTGTACCGACGCGGTGCATGGGAGGGAGGGTACAACGGGGTGACTGGACCATCCATTCATCGTCCGGGAATCACTGTTCTGGGGGAGGTGCCGGAATGGTTGGTGGGGGAGGACCTGCTTGGGCTCAGGTTGACGCTCCTCCGCCGCGCTACTAAATATTCATGAGGTCAAGGTGCAGCCCTGCATTTGTGGAGAAACGTGCACCCCCATTGTATTGGAATTGAACTGGCGCGCTCTGGAATTGGCGACCTCTAGTGTGAGTCATTAACACCACGGCAGGCATCGCCTTGTGTGAGTCTATGGGTCTCTATGTGAGTCTATATCTATGTGTGTGAGTCTATGGGTCTCTGTGTTTCTATATCTATGTGTGAGTCTATGAGTCTCTATGTAAGTCTATGTCTATGTGTGTGAGTCTATGGGTCTCTATGTGAGTCTATATATATGTGTGTGAGTCTATGGGTCTCTGTGTTTCTATATCTATGTGTGTGAGTCTATGGGTCTCTATGTGAGTCTATATCTATGTGTGTGAGTGTAGGGTCTCTATGTGTTTCTATATCTATGTGTGTGAGTCTATGGGTCTCTATGTGAGTCAATATCTATGTGTGTGAGTCTATGGGTCTCTGTGTTTCTATATCTATGTCTGTGAGTCTATGGGTCTCTATGTGAGTCTATATCTATGTGTGTGAGTCTATGGGTCTCTGTGTTTCTATATCTATGTGTGTGAGTCTATGGGTCTCTACGTGAGCCTACGAGTCTCTGTGGGTTATACTCGTGGGTGGACAGAGGCGGGCGGGAGAGTCCAGCATAGCCCACAGTTTACCGTTCCACCACAGCACATAATAAACATAAAGATCTCCCGTATGGCGTTAACACAGACGTGTTTTAGGGAAATTGTTAGCGAGCACCTATGAAGGCCAGCACGGTGTCCGAGGGGGTGGGTGGCCAGCACTCGTTTCAGGCCGAGTCGACCACTGACCGGTTGATATAATCGTCACTGGTGTTGGCGGTGAGAGGGAATCGAACGCGGGTCGCATTTAAACTCACGCAAGCAACGTTGTGTTCCTCGGTCAATATTCGGAGCCTCAAGGGTGGCTGGTGGTGGTAGGGGGTGGGGTGATCGCTCTCCCACCCCCGCATTATCCACCGCTATGTGTAGCACGTGACACGTCGTACAAGACGCACCACGTTCCACGCGGTGTAAATATCCCAGGGCTGCCGTGCTGGCCGCACCGCGGTCTGCGCGCCCTAACGAGGACAGAGGCACGGGCGGAGACTCGGCGACAAGCGCCTCCAGAGGGACGGGGTGTGGGGTGGGGACGTTTCGCGGAGGCACGCGCAGCCGTGCCCCACGCCGTAGGGTCGGAGCATCGTGAACCCTCGCCGTTCATTAACGTCGATTTGTATTTCTCTCCCAGACGAAGAGTTCCGTCGATGGGTTCCCCCGCGAGAGATGCAATGTGCGTGGGGGGGGAGTGCGGCCGGGAATAATTCGGGGTGGGGGTGATTGTGGAGGAGGGAGCCCTTCGCGGGATCGCCTTTGACAGGAACGCGGCTCATTAGCGTCGCGACAGCCACCGCTCCCTGCCTCCCTCCCTCCCTCCATCCGTGCCTCCCTGCATCCCACGACTTCCTGCTGCTCGCCCTCACCGCCTCCCTGCCTCCCTCTCTCTGCATCCCCGACTCTCTCCCCCCTTCTCTGCTTAGCTTCCTCTCTGCATCCATCTCCCCCTCCGTGCCTCACCATCCCCCCCTCCCTCCCATTCCCTCAACCTCACCGACTCTTCGTGCCTCTTTCCCTCGCTGCATCCCTACCTCTCCCTCGTACTCTCCCGTCTTCTCTCCCCGCCTCCGTTCCTACTTTCTCTTCTGCCTCACCGACTCCTACCCTCCCTGCCTCCCCTCCCCTTCATACATCTCTCCCTCCCTGCCTTCCTTCTCTGCTTCTCTCCCTCCTACCCTAAACCACTCTCTCCCTGCTTGCCTCCCTCTCAGGCCCTCCACCTCCCCCCTCCACCACCGCCTCACCCCGTCCCTCTCTGCCTCCCACACCGCTGTTCGCGGTGGAGGGGATCAGGCAGCGCGGTGGAAGCGGCGCGGGCAGCCGGCCTCCCGCCCCGCAACTCGGAGCCGTGGCTCCCGGTGCAATTGATCTCAATTCCAGACTCGTGAGCACCAGCCACACACGACGTGCACGCTCTGGCGTGTGCTGTGGTGTGGACAGCTGTGTGTGTGTGTGCGGGTTGCTGTGTGTGTGGACAGCTAGCTGTGTGTGTGTGGACAGCTGTGTGTGTGGACAGCTGTGTGTGTGGACAGCTGTGTGTGTGTGTGCGGGCTGCTGTGTGTGTGAACAGCTGTGTGTGTGTGTGCGGGCTGCTGTGTGTGGACAGCTGTGCTCGTTCGTGTGTGGGCTGCTGTGTGTGTGGACAGCTGTGCTTGTGTGTGCGGGCTGCTGTGTGTGTGGACAGCTGTGTGTGTGTGCGGGCTGCTGTGTGTGTGGACAGCTGTGTGCGTGTGTGCGGGCTCCTGTGTGTGTGGACAGCTGTGTGTGTGTGCGGGCTGCTGTGTGTGTGGACAGCTGTGCTCGTGTGTGCGGGCTGCTGTATGTGTGGGCCACTGTGTATGTCGCTGTGTGTGCGCGCTGTGTATGTGTGGGCTGCTATTATTTACTTTTACTATTTATTATTGTACCAGGTAAGGGCCATCGAGCTAAATAGCTCTTTTTCAGAAGCAACCTGGCCACAAATGATAGCCCAATGAAGTCGCTTATCATGTGGAAATGTATAGCAGCCAATTTAAACACATGTTTATAAATGTGGAGGGAAAACCCGGAGGACCCGGAGAAGAATCTACGCAAACTCCAAATATGTAGGCATCCGGGTCAGGATCGAACCCATGACCTCCTGTATACCAGGCGAGGTAGTTAACATCTCGCCACACTGGTGCTGTGTTTATGCTGTACTTGTACGCATATCGTGTCAATCCACGCAAACTACAGGAACAATAAATACAGTCGATGACATTAATATCACTCTCCTCCAAAGTGATGGCAGCAATGAATCACCTGAAGAAGGCCAGTCACCCGAAACGTCAATATCTCCCTTTCCTCTTTGTAACGGTGGAACCCCCTGCGATTATGTGTCGCCGACCTGCTTAATTAACCCGTTCATCACGGCACAAGTTCACTGGAGCATCGCTCGTTTCGTATGCTTAATGTGTCACGCACAGTTGGAGGAAGGCCGGGGGAGGGGGGAACTATGACACGTAGCCACCCTTATCTCGCCGCCCGTCTTCGGGTATTAATATTGTCGTGCCGCATTGTATTTTATATTAATGGGAGGGGTGAGATAATTTCGTCTTTAGATGAAATAATTTAACGAGAGTGTGTGGGTAATCCTAATGCGTCACGCTCTCACAGCCGTTCCAGATGCAGCAGACCGTACTCTGCATTGTACGTGCCGCGGTAACGGGTCCCATGTATGCCACACAGGCGACTACAGAAAAGATGTGACCCCCCCCTAAAGATACACACACGACTCTTATCTTGTAGCTACACACACCCTAGGTGGTAGTGTGTAGAGGGAGTGGTAGTGCAGCGGTTAGCGTGCTGCGCTACGAAACCGGCGACGCGAGTTGGAGTAAAGCTCATCTGAACTGGTCCTGGGCCTCCCGTAGGTAGACTCAGCCTCAAATGTATACTCGGGAGATGAAGGCGGCAAGGTGTGGTGCTGGCCACCCACCCCCTCGTTTGACACGCTAGCCTTAATAGGTGCTCATTAACAGTACTTGCTCCAAAAGTCTGTCACAAAGGAGTCCAAAAATTTGTTCAAAAATGTACAAATATCAGTGAGTTCCTGCTGCTTCTGCTGCTCAAATAAGCAATGATATCAATTGGTGCTAATCTCCTGCTTCCTACTGCCTTGCAGAACCAATTGTGACAATTCCACATTCATATGATGGGGGTGAGTCTGTCCATAGGAGAACCACTGTTCCCCACAAGTGGTACTCGTTTAATCGACCACAGAGAACTGATGAGCTGAGTCAACTCCCCAAACAAGATTTGACCTCACGACCTTCCGAAAGCAAGCCACTCGTTCCACTGCCAAGCCACGGGCCAGTGTCAGCTCGAGGTACAGAGAGAGATATTGTGCAGATGTAATATTGAGGTCTGTGAATATAGCACTCCGGTGACGTTGCTCCCATTACTTTTAATGGGAGCGATTTCAGCCCATCAACATCAGCCTGCTCCCTCTCAGAGTCGGTAAAGTGAGCACCACTTTGTAAACAAGCTCAACGGTGGTTGTCCTGTGTCTAAACTCCCCCTCGGTCATAGCAAAGTGAGCATCGATACGTCGACGCTCACTTGAGCAGCAGATTTTCGCTTCCGTCGTTTGTAACGCGGCAACGCAGGGACGTCTCTCGTGCTGTGACGGAGCCGCTTGCCTGCGACTTTGAAAGGCTTCGTTTCTCATTTACCACGCTTAGAGTTGGTGTGGGATAGCCCAGGAGATGTGCAACTGTGTAGTAACTACGAGAGCAGTTTGCGCTTGTGAGTTGTGGCGCTGGATCCTCGGCTGCCTGCGTGGACTCCACAGGATCCATTAGTGCGCACACATGCAATATAGATTCGGTCTGTGAAGTTGCATGGAGAGCGAGACATTAAAATTACTCATGCGCTTTCCCTTATTATTTTATCCGAAAGGAATAATACGACCCTCCATTAATACAGTAGGCGACACGGCGCTGCAATATTAAGCAGGCAGAGGAGTGTGCTGCATCGGCTGGGGAAGAGCCGTTCCGTGTTTCTCTGCTGTCCGAAGTGATGGCAACACGGTCAGCTCTATTGTTGAGTTAGTGGTCTCGACAAGGCTAAGAAGATAGTGTTGTAGATGCGACGTGGTGGCCACAAACAGCCCTCCTGCTCTCTGTGAGCAGCACCACACCTATGCATGTTAACTCTATACACACTCACCCATCCACTAAGTCACTTACCCACCCGCAAACCCACCGACTCACTCACCCACTGACCCAATCACACACTCACCTGCCCACCCACTCACTCACCCACCCACTTAATAACCCACACCTTTGCATGTTGTTAAATCTACACACTCACCCACTTACCCACCCACTCGCCCACTCACTCCTTTGCGTGTTAATTCTACCCGTTTCCAGCCTGCACGCGTTCTGGAATTGAGTCCCCATGTTCGATGACCTTGTGTAGTGCGGGTCAAATCCGGGTGAGGCCACTGCCCTGTGTCTCGTGACGTCCCCATGTCCCCGAGTGTGAAGAGACACAGAGGTGAGATCTCCACTGGCCGGAGATGGCCATTATGAATCGTCGCATCTCACCATTTCCGACAAGACTTGGCTGCTCTCGGACTCCATGGAGGACGTACTGCACCCAGGCACCGTCCCTGTACAGTGCAGACGCAGAGATGCACATAGACCAAGGTCCCCCGTATAGCCTTAACAGACTGTTGGGGCTAGTGCTGTTAACGGCGGCCTAAGAAGGCAGCGACAGCACACGTGAGGAGGGGGTGGGTGGCCAACACCGCGCCCGGCCGCCTTTGTCTCCATAGCGGCGATGTGTACACATTGCACCAGATACTCATTTGAGGTTTTGTCGACCTAAGGGGGGCCCTGGACCAGTGCAGATATGCGCAATTGATGTTACCCGTGAGCATCGTGTTAACCACGACACGAACGCTCCCCACACGCATTGAGGCACGTGCCATGCGCTGGATCCTGAGCAATGGGGCCATGATGGATACGTTTGGGGGTAGTAGGGGGAGTTGGTGTTGGGAGGGGGGGGGTCCCTTACACAACAGCTTTGGATGGCACAGAGGGTCCCCTTCGCGGCACGGGAATGCCCCACGCAGCTGCAGGGGGGGCCGGGGTCTATTGGAGTGCCCCACTGGCTGCGATTCCTCCTCCTCCTCCTCGTGATCCTGCTGCAAGGGAGAGAGAAGGAGACAGGAGGGAGAGACCCCCGGTTTAGTGGTCACGCCGCTCGTTTGAGCGGAGCCGGTAATGACGGGGAAGACGGATGGCCGCTGTCGGCGAAGCAAAACGCACCAACCTCGTGGGCATTTATTTTCTGGTCGGGAGCAGAGTTCCAGCGATCATTACTGCAACACAGTGAACACAGGCGGCGGGTTCGCACGCACACACGCACGCATGTCAATTGATAATCGCATTGAAAAAGAGCCATTTAGAACTCTGCCAAAACATCAACAAGCGTTAATAATGAATGCCTCCTGCGTGTGAACAGCGGGCGCTCGGAGCACGCTGGCTCGGTGCAGCGGTAGCGACAGCGCGGGGACGGCTTAGGGGTCGAGGGGGTTTCAGTGAGAGGAGGGAACTTGGGTTACGGGCACGTGGGCGGAGGGGGGGTTGTTAAGACGGCCACTCACGCCACCGAGTGGGCGTTGGTGAAGCTCCACGCTGCACTCTCCTGGAGCCATATTGCAGATCTCTCGCAGCTCCCTACACATACACACACGGACAAAGATCCCCCGTAGAGCCTTCACAGGCTGTTGGTGCACGTGCTCTTCACGAGCACCTACTAAGGCTTGCATGGCACAAGAGGCAGTGGTGTGACCAACACCATGCCCGGACGCCGTTGTCTCCCGTGTGCTGATATTTAATACAACCTCCATCAGGTACCATTTAAGGTTGAGTTGACCTAAGGGAGGCCTAGAACCAGTTCAGATAATCGCCACTGATGTTAGCCGTGGACAGGAATCGAACTTGGGTTACTGAGTTCATCATGCATATCACATCATAAAGAATCACAAAGTTCACACACGCATACACGACAAAAATTCACACACGGACATGAAATCGAACATAGACAGAAATTAAGACACAAATTCACACACGTAGACACGCACAAATACAAATACACACGCAGACACAAATTCACACACAAATACAGAGGTAAACGGACACAAATTCACGTAGACACATTTACACACAGATGCAGCAACACAAATTCACACTGACACGAGCTCACACACACGCCACACACGCGTTGGGAGAGCCACACAGACACCGCCAGGTACGTGAGACGCAGGTGCCAGTGTTGCCTCATTATGGTGGCGCTGATTGAGCCGCAATTAAAATGTACCATCCACCATTTCCCAATTATCACCTCCTCTTTGCTGTACTGGCACCGCGACCGTGTTCGTCTGAAAGCAGAGCAAATCGCGGATGCTATGAACGGCCGGTGTCATTTTGCCGTCAAACGCTGAGTCAAGGCCGCTCAGATGTTGTAAGATGAACCCTGAGGCCAGCTCCATGTCTGCTGGGCCATACTCCTGGGGGGGCTCATGTGGAGGCCCACCCAGCCCCCACTGCATGGGATTTAACCCCAACTGCTGCTGATGTTGCTGCTGCTGCTGCCACCACGGGTCCTCAACCTCGAACCAGGGCCTGGGGGATGTGTGCCCGGAGGTTGACAGCCCGTGGAGGAACAGCGCGGGCCCACGATCGCCAAGGAAGAAGCCATCGTCCTCGAAGAGGCTGTGCTCAGTGGTGTCGAGCTGGAAGGGCCTCGGGGTCTTGGGCTTGTGGTCCGAGTTCTGATAGTGCACGAGCGACGGCACGACCTGCAGGGCCACGGCCTCGTGGGCGAAGTCGGAACTCTCCATGAAGTGACCTGCGCTGGGCCTGGGGGACGACCGTGAAGGTGGAGAAGAATTGAGATGCAGCCCCTCCTTGACCCCCACGGGGTGCCGCGCCGTTTGCCGTGGGAAGGGTCGTAAAGTCGAAACCAGCGTGGCAACACAGATGGGTAAATGAACACTCAAATATCTATCTGTAGGGATGTTGGGGTGTGCCGGGGCGTAAATGGGGAGTGCTGGGGTGTTCTGGGTGGGAGCGTGTGGGTGCAAATGGCAGAGTTCAAGTGTCAAGTTGATTTTGTGTGACCAAGTCTCATTTGCAAGAGTGACCTGGGTCATGGAAATGACAAAAAGAATAACGTACGAGTACAGCAATGAAGCAAATGGAAGTCAGAACCAAGACAACCAAATAAAGTAGATTTAAGCAAGCCTGACTGCTGATAAGACACTGTATGTCAAAACGGGTCCAGAGTTTGCGTGTCTTGCTACAATGCTGTTAAAATTACGCACTCCAGAAGGCCACGTGTCTAATGGGTAGTGGAACACAGTATGCTACTTTTATTTGTGCATGTGGAGGGACGGAAGGAGACGAATTGCCTGTGCATTTATTGTTAAGTAAATTTGCAGCATTGCGTGAGGATATGGCCCATTGTCGCTGTGAGCGCGCATGCTTTGGGAGCGATAGCGTAGTGGTTAGCGCACTGCACTACGAACCCGGTGACCCGGGCTTGATTCCTGTTCACGATCAACATCAGTGACAAATATGTATACTGGTTCTGGGCATCCCCTAGGTCGACTCAGCCTTATTTGAAGTACCTGGCATGGTATATGTATGAACATTAGCACTGGGGAGACAAAGGCGGCGAGTTGTGGTGATGGCCACCCACCCCCTCGTGTGCCGTGCCAACAACCTTCATAGGTGCTCGCTACCAGTGTATGCCCCAACAGTCTGTGTTTTATGACGATCACAGGGGGGCGAGTGGGAGTTCGAGGGAGGCGTGCGTTACCCCACTCCGCGCGGCGCCCAGGAGCTGGTGGGGTTGGAGGTGTCGAGATCCCGTTGCTCCACACAGAGCGCACGTCTGCAGATCGCGTCTGCGTTTGTGTTGCTCTCCACGACGATCCACGGACTTGAAATTGGCATGAAGGGGCTCTGCAAATTCAAACTGCCGGCATCAGCCTTGTGCTTCAATATAAGACACCATCCACCGGCAGTGCCAGGAGGCGGCACACGGCGCTACTGCTCATTAAGTCTCCTGCAACCGCGACCTGCCCAAAGTGGCTCGGCAGCAGAGCGAGCGGCAGAGTCAACAGCTTCACAATGAAAAGGTTGCGAGTAAATATCTTGGTTGGAGGGGTTGAATTAGCTCAGTATCCCTCCCTCCGGCGTCGATAAAATCAGCACCAGTTTGTGGGGAAGATCACCAGCAGTTGTCCTATGGATAGGCTCGCCCTCGGTCATATGAATGTGGAATTTCCACGGTCACTGGATCTGTAAGCAGGACATGAGCCTCAATGCTCATTAATGCCTCAATGCTCACTTGAGGAACAGATATGTGGCAATGCAGGCACATCTCTCGTACTGTGAAGGAACGCTTGACTGCGACTTTAAAGTGTTTGTTTCTCATTCACCATCATTAAATTCGTGTGGGATAACCCGGGATTGTACAGGTGTGTAGTAGCTACGAGCGCTGTTTGCGCTTTGGGGGTCACGACTTGCTATTTGGGACGACCACGGCTACCGCCGCTGGCCCATTCCGCCCAGATGGTTCACTCAGCGCCCACGCGATCTGCAGCTTTAATGTCCCATACGATCAATCGAGCGCTTTCTTCACAAAATCAATCGCTTGCCTGAGAATTTGGGCGATGCAGGTACCCGTGTGGTGGGGCACAGCTGCATTTCGACGCGTAATGCATCCCAATCGAGTGTTTTAAAAGCACAGCAACAGCAACATCAATAACAACAACAACGGTGGAATTGCCAGCTCGGGAGGTGCGAGCGGCCGAGTGACGCGGGAATCGAGATGCAACCCCCCCCCCCCTAAATTCGGAGCGCTTCACTCCGGGGTCCCGCGTCTCTGACATCGCCGCCGTGGTGCCAAAGGGGGATGGAGAGGAGGCGCCACGAGCCGCACCTGCGCTGCCGTCACCATGGAGTGGGTTTTGGGGGGCTGAGGCCACGAGCAGGAGGGCCCCCCGCTAAATACAGCAGGGTCCGCCGCGGGCAAATGGTGCTCGTTAATGGGGTACAGCTGCTGGAGGTGGGAGGGAGGGAGAGACGAAAGAAAATCAGAGAGAGAGATTGAGAGAGAGAACATCAATAGAAACAGCAAGATAGTACATCCAATGGAAAGAGATGGAATCGCATAATTTGACAATTCACATCACACACACACACACAGAGAGAGAAAGGACAACACGACGTAGAGAATACAACACATCACACACAGGCAGTGAGAGAGATCACATCACACGGACAAATAACATCATATCACAGAAATCATATCGCAGCACATGACAGAAGTCACAGCACACTACATAAAAGGCAGTACATCACTGAAAAACCACATCAATGGAAAAAGCACATAGCATGACAAACAGCAGATCAAATGGCGACATAAGCAGCAACATCGCATTACAGAAATAACCTCAAGTAAATCACATCGCATCTCACACAGCAAAGAAATCACATCAAAGAAAGAACATCACATCCTAGACAGCACATCACATGTCATCGCAGACAGCGGCACGTCGCATGCTGAGTGGGTGAGCACTCACCCCCCCACCACTCTGGAAGTTTTTCGGTGGTGGTGGCGGCGGCATCTTCCTGGCTCTCACTGAGGGCTTGAAGCACGCTCTATTTAGCACAGCTTTCCTCCGGTTGCTGCTACAGCCGTGTTTCGCTTGGCTACAGCGCGCACACATGGAGAGGCACACACACATACAAGACAAAGCTACCCCGTCTAGTAGTCTTCAACAGACTGTTGGGGAAAGTGCTGTAAGCGAGCACATTATGAAGGCCGGAATAGCACACGAGGGGGATGGGGAGCCAGAACCAAGCCAGGTCGCCTTTGTCTTCCGAGTTGCGATGTTTACATATCGCACCAGGTACTCATTTGGGGCATGGTTGGCCATGAGCGGGAATAGAATCCAGATCGCCGGGTTCATAGCACAGCGCGCTAACCGCTACAAAGACAAAGATCCCCCATATAGCCTTAACAAACTGTCGGGGCAAGTGCTGTTAGCGAGCACCTAGAGGCCGGAATGGTACATGAGGGGGTGGGTGGCCAGCACCACGCCCGACCGCCTTTGTCTCCCCCTAGGGGAGGCCCAGGACCGGTTCAGATAATCGTCACTGGTGTTTGCCGTGAGCGGGAATCGAACCCGGATCGCCGGGTTCATAGCGCAGCGCGCTCACCACTACACACACTCATACAGGGACACACAGCCAAACAGCGACACAAACAAAGTAAGAGTCGTGCGGATAAACAAACCAAAGGGACCCGGTGCCTGGCAGGGACGCAAATCAAAACAGAAACAGCCTTGACTCCACACAGCGACAGCTCAGTGGCTCACAGCAGCATCATCATCAGCAGCAGCAGTAGTACCATCAGCAGAACCAAGAACACAATCAGAAACACCAGCCATAGGAAATAATCCGCACCATCACCATCAACACGATGAGAACCTTAGCAATAAAACATCTGCAGAATGACTGCTATCATCATCAACATCCACACTATCAGAGGAGTCAGCGATGGCAACATCAGTAGCATCACCACCATCATCAGCAGCAGCAGCACATTAGTAATTGCTAGATCTGCATCACCACAGCATCAGCATTATCATCATCGGCAGCAACATCATCAGCCTGTCACATCAAAGGGCCAGGCTTGTCTTCACGTGTCAATTCGCCTGCCAGCGCGTTCACGGCCGCCCATCGCGAGGAGGAGAGACTCGAGCGTGCCGCGATGCTTTGAGTGACGGCAACATCTGGCAGGGGTGTTGTTGGTTCCTCGCATTCCCTGTGTCAGGTGTGGCCAGTGCGGTGATCTGGCGGAGTGATCATTCTCCAAGATAAATTCTCATTACCTCCGCCAGCTGCCACAGGAAACTTGCAAGACATAAACAGCGCACGGCAGATGAAGGCTGCGCCGCGTCCACATCGATAATGCCCACTTCCCCTGCCCTCCACTCCCCCACTACCCCCCCCCCCCACCTATTCTTCAACCTACTCCCCACTTCTCCCCCCTCCTTTTGCCCCCTCCTCCTCACTCTGGCCGCGACGGCCACCCACGGCTGTGTAATGTTCACGGCCTAGCCTGGGGGGCTCGGTGCCACATGGCAGCCCCGTTCCCATGCCGTGCGCGCTCTGCCCTGCGATTCATCTCAGCCGGAGCGGTGCATGCCAAGGCAAAACAAACTATAAAAGTAACCTCACGTTCACACTCAAGTCACTCACTCCTACGACAAAGCTGGTCGAGGTAAACAAAGGAGCAGCCCTGTCATTGATTGTGCCGCACAGGATAGCTGCCATTGTTGGGGGGGGGGGGGGCTGGGGGTGCACCTTCGAATTGTATGAGATGATGGAAGGTACTTTGAGCTGCCGAGGCATTAAGCAAGTACCATATAAATGCACAGATGAATTATTATTCTATTTTATTATTTTATTCTTACGCATGATGGCAGCAGCAGATGTTAAGGAGCTCGATGGCAATATCGAGGTCTGCTGGCCACGACGAGGTGACCTTCAGGGAAGAGTTCGTGTGGTTTTACTATTTCCCCTCCGTTGAAGGAGGGCAGACTAAATTGGTTTGCTATACGGTCCATAATCTGGGTTGCATGGCCGCAATCGTACTGCTCTGGTTGAGGCTGCTGATAAAATGTTACTCTTAGAAAGGCCGTGTGGCTGATGGGATGTGTTCCAAATATTTACAAAAATTGTGTAGAGGAGCAGCGATATGAAGGAGGGGAACTGCTTGCTAATTATTGGTTACCACTGGACTGTGACTGTTTTCACTGAAACGCGTGAGCGAATTAGCGGCTGTGCGCATCGAAAACTCGACAGAGACGTCACCTGGTTATTTATTCGCAGACACCCATTACCATTACACGTGTGCGCATAAAGACATTGATTCGCATGGAATAGCGAATTTAAGTTTAATAAATACTTTACAAGGTTTTTTGCATTTACGAGCTTCGTACTAATCGATGTGAGTTAACGCTGATTCCACTGTGCCACACCACTTTATCTATCGAACAGAGCACACGAATGGAATACACAACTGTGTGTTATTATGCGACGACTGGTGCAAGAGGTTTGAAACTGGGGCAGAGGAAAAATTCCCCCTCCTCATTCACTCGGGGCCAACTGCCTCCTCTGGCGTAGTGTGGCGTGGCGTGCCGTGGCGTGCCGTGCCGTGATATAGCCCAGAGCATGCAATATGAATAAGCAGACACATCGCCTCCATCCCATATCTGTCTCTCCACATGACAAATGGAAGAGTTTTTTATTTTTACACGTCCGATCGGCCACTCGGCCTTCTGGCAGCACATTCGTCGGAAGCATTCGTTGAAAGTGAGCAAAACTCTGGACTAGGTTTTAACATTCACCGTTTTCTCGGCAGGGTCAGGCTTTGAATAACCCAAGGCTGGTCAACTGCCAGATGTTTATAGACAAGGACCCCTCTGTCAGATATGGGTGCTAGAATAATCACGAATGTCGCTGTGGAGAAGATGAGCGATAAATGAGCGGACCACAGCCTCCTCCCCACGTGTGCTATGATTACTGGATGGTGCTATGGTGTCGTGCCGTAGCGTGGCGCGGCATGCAGTCCCACGGTGTGACAGGTTATCGCATAACGTTGCATGCTGTGGTGTTGCGTGTCATGCTGTGACAATATGTGCTATACCGTGGCCTTGTGGTGCCACAGCGTGCCGTAGCGTAGCGTCTTGTGCTGGTGATGGGAGTGTTTTGCCACCTGCTGTTGCTGCTGCTGGTGCCGTCGGCGAACATCAGCTGTGAGGGCGCATGCATCTTGGCCTGCGGGTACGAGGGCAACTCCACGTGCTCGTGCCAAATCCGCGACCCACTCTGCTCCTGGGTCATCTTGGTGACCTGGCGAGAGTTGTCTGGGGGCACAGAGCAGAGATCACGATCAGAGGTCACGGCGCAGGGGTCAGGAGGCGCACACACCAATGGATCAACCAAGGACACACGGTGGTGGGGGGTCAGGAGTCAGAGGTTACGGCTAGAGCTATAGGCAGGATGGTTCAGAGGGGGGGGGGGGGCAATAGGAGTCATCTTGTCCGGGTCTTACACAAAAGAGGGCCCAAACAACGAACCTGATTTCTCTTGCTAATCAATAAGGGGGTCACTCATGAGGCTAATGGAACACAGGCGGCAGCCATGGCTATAGAGGCAAGGGCCCTGTTAGATATGGGATCTAGGTTTAAAACGCGAATGATTTCGGCATGGAACACACGTCAAATTATAGATGCCCAATTGGAGTTTGTTTTTTCCGCCACACTGCCTCTGCGACATCATCATAAGTACTATTATTATTGCTGTGAGATTCCTCGCGTGTTTCTAGTCGTGGGAACATTGCTTTTAAAGTCACAAATGTAACCATTTTCGTAAACACCCGCCACGTCCAGCAGTCCTCACGCTATTTGTCAAATGGTGCAAACGGCCGTCGCCGGTGCGCATGTCTGGCGGCGGCGCGCACACAGATAATTGCCGATTGAAAGCAAATAAGTTCGTGTGATGGCACGGAGCTCGTCGCGAGGCGAGTAGGGGGGGGGAGGCGAATTTATGAAGGTGGTGGAGCGCCTGTCGGGCCAGGCAGCCTGGCTCCATCCGAGGCCAAGTCAAAATCAGAGTTCTTGCTTAAAAGAGTATTGAAGTATTGGTGCTCACCTCCCGTTTATCGCCCTAAGTGGGTGTAAAATCCACATTCCTATGGCGGGTGGCGAGTCTCTCCACAGGATATCCACTGTCGATCTTCCCCACAAAGTGGTAACTATTTTATTGACCCCGGAGGGTAGGATGATAGGCTGAGTCAACCCCCCACCCCCAAACGGGATTTTAACTAATAACCTTCCAATTACGAGCCACACGCTCTACCACTGAGTGCAGCCACATGGATGCCGCACGATTCGCATCTACAGTATTCTCACGCATATCAGCACTATGATCAGGAGCTAGATACTCGTGTCAAGGTCTACTAGCCAGGGCGAAGGGGTTTGGGAGAGTGTTCGTGTAGTTTTGCTACTGCGTTGAAGGAGTGCAGTGGTTTACTATATGGCCAATAGTTTGGGTTGCTTGGCCACAATCACACTACTGTGGCTTGTCTTACCATATATCTCTATGCGTCTCTGTCTTTATGTATCTCCACACGACTATATGTATATATATGAGTCTCTACGTGTATTTTCAGATTTACAATATGGTTCATAGTTTGGGATGCATGGCAACAATGGCATTACTTTTGATTATCTATAATGTTATATTCATATACCTGTGTCTCTATGCATCTCTACGAGTCTATATGCATTTCTGTGTCTCTGTAGGTTTACAATATGGTCCATAGTTTCGGTTGTGTGATCACAATCACACTACACCTGGCTTGTCTTTAATTTTCCATTTATGAAGCAGATGTGCGTATCGGCCTGCTGGTGTTCTGATGCGGCTGATAGATACACGAGTGTCTTAGAGGAGGACTGTCAAAGCCAGCAGTTGTGATGTTTGGGTCTCGAATGAGGTGGTTATTCTGGAAGTCTGCGTTGTTCCACTCTGTTCTCCAGCATGCTGCTGCTGGATCTGGGTGCGTTTTGATGGTGATAGTGCGATCCCAAGTCCCGATGGTGATCGAGACTCGAGTCGTCGGCAGCGAGGAACATTGTTGTCTTGGTTGATGATGGGTAGGTGGTTGTCATTGGCTGGAAAACATAATAAACCCCCTTACAGGTTTGTATGCCAGGAAATTAGTGTCGGCTGCAGCGCTCCCGTTATGATGCGCATTGCGTCAATTAACTGTGCATCTCGTAGTTTTGCATACAACCTCCAGATGCGAGCAACGCTGCCTGATAAAACCTCTGGTAAAACAACTCCTTCACTCGTGGCGAGGGGCAGCAGCAGCAGCACAGCAGCATGGGAAGAATGCATGGGATTGGAAAGGGCCCTTCAGCCCGGCTGATCTGTCGCTTCACGCATCAGTCACCCCACTCTCCAGCAGCTCCCAGAGGCGCCCACGCGCAGCAGCAGCCATCTGCCTGGGAGCATAAAACCCCGCGCCGCCAGCAGCAGTCCCACTCCTCGGGGGGAGGGGGGGGGGAGACGGCAGAACAGCCCCCCCGGGCACTGCTCCAAGCGGCTACACACACCCCCCCTCCCACCACCACAATCTGTGGGCCCCCATGTACGTGGTGGCCCCGTGGGTGCCGAGCCAGATGCTTGCTGGGCCAGGTGTCATGGTTGTTGCATGCGGGTTGGAGGGACAATCGACGCTAGCGCACGTGTATTGCGTTGTCTGGCGATGGTGGATTTGGTTTACCCCGCCAGTGAAAATGGGCCTGGTGAGCATGGGGAACTGTGTCCAGTGGTGGTCACTGCAGAAGGTGGGCCTGGCCTCAAGAGTGGTGATATAAAGGGCCAGAGAGGGGAGTGGGTGGGGGGAGGCAGGGAGCAAGGGACAATTTGCCCCAGGCCTCACACCAAAAAGTCTTCACAACAGGTCCACGTGGCATTTTGCCCGAGACCTCCAGGAACCTCTGCGCAGCCCTGGTGGTGCACGGGAGTTGGTGTGCGGCGTTGGAGGTGCCCGCTGGCTCTAATGTAGAGTGGTGGGGCACGATAGCCATGTGAGAGGGGCGCCCACCCTTTGTGTCATTGCAGGCGATGTGGTTGACCATGTGCAGAGACACCAAGTCCATGCTCACGTCCCTGTGCTGCCGCTTCCGTGGCGATGGCAGCTTCAATGGCTGCGGATACTCTTCGCACTTGTGCCTCTGGAAGAAGTTCTGCACGAAACGAGAAAGGGAGGCGAGAGGAGAGAGGCGAAAGGAGGGGGGGGGGAGAGGAGGCGGCGAGCGAAGCAATCCCCAGGATGTCCATCTTAACGATGTGCGACGGCTTGGGTGCGTGCTGCGGGATCGCCAGCGCAGCGAGTAACGCACCTTCTGCAGTTCCTTGTTTTCCTTAAATCGAATCTGGCTCCTGTGTGAAAAGAGGAGATGGAGAGAGGTTAGAGAGAGAGGTCAGAGAAAGAGAGCGGAGATTGGAGAGCGCTCAAAGCTCGTGTTGGGGAGTGTAACACGCGGACGGCACTCGCCTCAAGCCGCTGACCCAATTCATCCTGGAGCCTCACGCTCTGCGAACGTGGGGGTGTGCGCGTATCCCTGGACCACGAACTCCTCCTCAACCAATCTTCCACACACACAACCCTCTCCTCCTTCGTCCGCCGCCGCCGCCGCCTCCCCCACGGCCAGCCAGCACCCAACCCTGGAACACGGGCATTAAAATCATCAGCAGGAAGCTAAGGAGGTAATTAAAAAGCAACAACAGACAGGCAGTCGTTAAAGCGGGTAATTTGCGGCGCGCGGATGTGCGCACGGGCGCGGGGCGTTTAATATCCCGCGGATCGATGCGGCCGCCGCGACGAGCGGGAGAAGAGGCCCAATCGCGTTTCGCGCAGCAATAAAACGGACGCAATTACTCGCCCGCACTCATTATTTCAGCTGTAACCGGAGGGGAAGGAGGCACGGTGGGGGGGCCTGGGTGGTGGCTACCCACGATTGGTAGTCGGGAGAGGGCCCCGCACCACACCCCACGCGTGGATGTGGTTGCTGGCCACCCACCCCTTTCGTGTGCCGGCTTTCATGGGTGCTGTGGCTGGTAGCGTTGGTGTACGGTGCTTTTTCTGGAAGATTTTTGCTGTTTTTTCCTGGATTTTTCTGTTTGCGCATAGTCACTTTAAGATGTTTTCTTGTTCATGTTTTAGTTTTTTGTTTGTTGCGGTTGCACCCGATTCAAGAGCCGAATGGCTCACAGGGCTATACCAAATAAATGAAACTGAAAACTCGCCCCAAAAGTCTGTAATGGCTACATGCGTCTGTGTGTGTTGGGTGCCCGCGCGTGGGTGTAAAATGGTTTGCGCGCTGCGTTACCAACCTGTCGCCCCGAGTTCGATTCCTGGCCAACATCGGTGACGATTATCTGAACTGGTCATGAGCCTCCCCTAGATCGACTGAGCCTCAAGCTAGTACCTGGTGCAATGCGTAAACATTGACACCTTCGTGTGCCGTGCCGGCCTTCATAGGTGCTCGCTAAAAGCACTTGCCCCAACAGTCTGATAATGCTATACAAAATATATTTGTCATTGTGTGCACGTAAAGACCACCCCCCCCCCCCCCCCCCCCGTATAACCTTTAAAAAATTGTTGGGGCAACTGCGTCGCGAGTGGTTAGCGCATGGTGCTACGAACCTGGCGCCACGAGTTCAAGTCCCGCTCACGAACCAAAGAACAGCGACGAATATGATCATCAGTCCTGCGCCTCCCCTAGGTCGACTCAGCCTTAAAACGAGTACCTGATGCGGTGTGCAAACATCGACACGGGCGAGAGAGTGATGCAGCTGAGCGTGGTGCTGGTCACCCACCGCCCCCCTCTCGTGTGCTGTGGGGGGCTTCACAGCAGTAGCTCGCAAACAGAACTTGTCCCACAAGTGACGTTAAAGACACGGGTGGTATGGGTTGGGGGGGGGGAAGTCTTTAACTTCGCTGTGTGCATAGCGGCTGTGACATACGCATCGGAAAGATGGACATTGCCAACGATGAACATTGCGCTCGAAATTAGCCCGAGAGACGACGGGGGGGGGGGGTGATCACACGGATCAGGGAGCACGCGCAGCAAGTTCGAGACATCGTATTGATCGATGAGCAAAAGAAGCGTAATCGATATGATGCTATGATGCTGATGCCGGGGCATGTCGCCAAGAGGCACGCGTCCGAGACGACGTCGACCACCGCGGACGAGATGGGAAGCGACGGGAGAGGGGTCCATGGAGCAGGTTGTGGTGGTTTTATTTATTATTTTTACACGATTTTATTTAACTCACTCTGTCTGTCGTTGTTGTATCCTCAAATATTGTAACTCGATTTTAACCCACTTCACAATGTGGTATCGACTGCAAACTTGGTATACTTATGTCATACTGATGACAATACTATATTCTATCATGAAAAATAAACAAAAACATTTTTAACTATCTTTTTACACGATTTTATTTAACTCACGGTTGTTGTTGTCGTATCGTCAAATCTTGTCACTCGATTTTAACCCATTTCCCAATGTGGTATCGACTGCAAACTGCGTATACTTACGTCATACTGATGACAATACTATATTCTACCATAAAATAAAAAATTACGATCTTTTTATATGTTATGTTTCGGCTTGGGTCTAATTGTCCACGCTCAACTCACGTTGGCTGTAAATCACCACGGCCCCTTACGTTGTGGCAAGCTTCGGGGCCACTTCCTGGGGTCGTGGAGTTCTGCCATTACGAGAACATTTAATAATTAAAGCGTGTTGCTTTAAAGTAAGTTTTAATATTACTTATTTGGACTGTTTGCTGCACTGCGGTGCCGTGAGGGGTGACGACGGCTTTGGGGGGAGACCTTCATCCAGCATTGATCATAGCTGATGATTAATCTAGATGATTAATCTAGTGGATTGAGAGAGGGCTGCACGTGTAACTTTACAAGTCAGCTAACCAGGGGCCTGAACTATAACCCAGGGTTGGTGGTGGTGGTGGTGCAACTCAAGTACTGCTTCGTGGTTCAGGTGTTGCCGTGGTTTATAGCAGCAGCTGTATGCAGCAGTCGTCTGTGTTACTGGTGTGGTGAGTTGTTACGTTAGTTAGTAGTGGCTGTGGCAATGGCGAGTAGTAGTTGTAATCGATTGTGTGGTCGTACTTACTAGTTGTGCACACTGGTGAAATTTAGTTGTTGTAGTGGTAGTAGTGCTAGTAGTTGTGGTAGTAGTTGTTAGTTGTTGTAGTGGTAGTAGTGGTAGTTGTTGTAGTGGTAGTATTGGTAGTTGTAGTGTTAGTAGTTGTTGTAGTGTTAGTAGTTGTGGTAGTTGTTGTAGTTGGTAGTTGTAGTGATAGTTGTAGTGATAGTGGTAGTGTTAGTAGTTGTGGTAGTTGTAGTAGTTGTAGTGGTAGTGTTAGTAGTTGTGGTAGTTGTAGTAGTGGTAGCTGTTGTAGTAGTTGTTGTAGTGGTAGTAGTTGTAGTGGTAGTTGTAGTAGTGGTAGTTGTGGTAGTTGTTGTGGTAGTTGTAGTAGTGGTAGTTGTAGTGGTAGTAGTAGTAGTAGTGGTAGTAGTAGTGGTAGTTGTAGTAGTGGTAGTTGTGGTAATAGTAGTGGTAGTTGTGGTAGTAGTAGTGGTAGTAGTAGTGGTAGTAGTGATAGTTGTGGTGGTAGTAGTGGTAGTTGTAGTAGTGGTAGTTGTAGTAGTGGTAGTTGTGGTAGTAGTAGTGGTTGTGGTAGTAGTGGTAGTGGTAGTGTAGTAGTAGTGGTTGTAGTAGTGGTAGTTGTAGTAGTAGTAGTGGTAGTGGTAGTAGTGGTAGTTGTAGTAGTGGTGGTAGTAGTAGTGGTAGTTGTAGTAGTGGTAGTAGTCGTAGTAGTGTAGTAGTAGTGTTAGTAGTAGTGTTAGTAATAGTAGTGGTAGTAGTAGTTGTAGTAGTGGTAGTAGTAGTGGTAGTAGTGGTAGTTGTAGTAGTGGTGGTAGTTGTAGTAGTGGTAGTAGTAGTGGTAGTAGTAGTGGTATTTGTAGTAGTGGTAGTTGTTGTAGTAGTAGTTGTGGTAGTTGTAGTAGTGGTAGTAGTTGTTGTAGTAGTAGTTGTGGTAGTTGTTGCGGTAGTTGTTGTAGTAGTAGTTGTGGTAGTTGTTGTAGTAGTGGTAGTAGTAGTAGTTGTTGTAGTAGTGGTGGTTGTTGTAGTTGTTGTAGTAGTTGTTGTGGTAGTTGTTGTAGTGTTAGTAGTTGTAGTGGTAGTAGTTGTTGTAGATGTGGTAGTTGTAGTAGTAGTTGTGGTGGTAGTTGTAGTAGTTGTTGTAGTAGTTGTTGTAGTTGTTGTATACTGTAGCTGCTACTTGCTTCTGTAGTGGTAGTAGTTGTAGTAGTGTTAGTAGTTGTAGTAGTGTTAGTAGTAGTTGTTGTAGCTGCTACTTGCTTCTGTAGTGGTAGTAGTACTGTAGTTGTCGTAGTGGTAGTAGTAGTGGTAGTTGTTGTAGTTGTTGTAGTAGTTGTAGTGGTAGTAGTGGTAGTAGTTGTGGTAGTTGTTGTAGTAGTTGTAGTGGTAGTAGTAGTGGTAGTAGTGGTAGTAGTGGTAGTGTAGTAGTAGTGGTAGTAGTGGTAGTTGTGGTGGTAGTAGTGGTAGTTGTAGTAGTGGTGGTAGTTGTAGTAGTGGTAGTTGTAGTAGTGGTAGTAGTAGTGGTAGTTGTAGTAGTGGTAGTAGTAGTGGTAGTTGTAGTAGTGGTAGTTGTAGTAGTGGTAGTTGTTGTAGTAGTAGTTGTGGTAGTTGTTGCGATAGTTGTTGTAGTAGTAGTTGTGGTAGTTGTTGTAGTAGTGGTAGTAGTAGTAGTGGTGGTTGTTGTAGTTGTTGTAGTGTTAGTAGTTGTTGTAGTTGTGGTAGTTGTAGTAGTTGTTGTTGTGGTAGTATCAGTAAAAAAGTGTCACGTTGACAAAAGACAATTAGTTCACTGCTTTAGCCCACCGGTGTGTTGAAGCGTGAAACCACAACATTTACAATTTGAGTAGTACGACGTTTCGCTGGTAATTGCATCCAGCACGGGAGACACAGCAGAGCCTCACCATTCTGGCGAATTGCCCGATGATGCTGGATGCAATTACCAGCGAAACGTCGTGCTACTCAAAAACTGTAAATGTTGTGGTTTCACGCTTCAACACACCGGTGGGCTAAAGCAGTGAACTATTTGTCTTTTGTCAACGTGACACTTTTTTACTGATTGGCCGTGTCGGGTGGTGGAGGGTTACGACACATTTATAAATAACGCGATCTAAACCCAAAAACGTTGATTATGAATAATATTGGTCGCGAAAGCCTACGTGTTAAACAGTGTTAGTAGTTGTTGTAGTAGTTGTTGTAGTTGTTGTAGTGGTAGTCGTTGTGGTAGTTGTTGTAGTGGTAGTAGTAGTGTTAGTAGTAGTAGTGTTAGTAGTTGTTGTAGTAGTTGTTGTAGCTGTAGCTGCTACTTGCTTCTGTAGTGGTAGTAGTAGTGTTAGTAGTAGTAGTGTTAGTTGTAGAAGTGTTAGTAGTAGTTGTTGTAGTAGCCTCTGCTGCTACTTGCTTCTGTAGTGTTAGTAGTAGTAGTAGTGTTAGTAGTAGTTGTTGTAGCTGCTACTTGCTTCTGTAGTGGTAGTAGTTGTAGTAGTAGTGTTAGTAGTAGTTGTTGTAGCTGTAGCTGCTACTTGCTTCTGTAGTGGTAGTAGTAGCAGTGTTAGTAGTAGTAGTGTTAGTAGTAGTAGTTGTTGTAGCTGCTACTTGCTTCTGTAGTGGTAGTAGTTGTAGTAGTGTTAGTAGTAGTTGTTGTAGTAGTAGTTGTTGTAGTTGTTGTAGTAGTAGTTGTTGTTGTTGTAGTTGTGGTAGTAGTAGTTGTTGTTGTAGTAGTAGTTGTTGTTGTAGTAGTAGTTGTAGTAGTTGTTGTAGCTGTAGCTGCTACTTGCTTCTGTAGTGGTAGTAGTAGTAGTGTTAGTAGTAGTTAGTAGTAGTTGTAGCTGTAGCTGCTACTTGCTTCTGTAGTGGTAGTAGTAGTGTTAGTAGCAGTAGTTGTAGTAGTAGTTGTAGTTGTTGTAGTAGTTGTTGTTGTAGTAGTAGTTGTTGTTGTAGTTGTTGTAGCTGTAGCTGCTACTTGCTTCTGTAGTGGTAGTAGTAGTAGTGTTAGTAGTAGTAGTGTTAGTAGTAGTAGTTGTTGTTGTAGTTGTTGTAGTAGTAGTAGTTGTTGTAGTAGTTGTTGTAGTAGTGTTGTAGTAGTAGTTGTTGTTGTTGTTGTAGTAGTTGTTGTTAGTGTAGTAGTAGTTGTTGTTAGTGTTGTAGTAGTAGTTGTTGTTAGTGTAGTTGTTGTAGTAGTAGTAGTGTTAGTAGTTGTAGTTGTTGTAGTTGTTGTAGCTGTAGTTGCTACTTGCTTCTGTAGTGGTAGTAGTAGTGTTAGTAGTAGTGTTAGTAGTTGTTGTAGCTGTAGCTTCTACTTGCTTCTGTAGTGGTAGTAGTGTTAGTAGTAGTAGTTGTAGCTGTAGCTGCTACTTGCTTCTGTAGTGGTAATAGTAGTAGTGTTAGTAGTAGTAGTGTTAGTAGCAGTAGTTGTTGTAGTAGTAGTTGTTGTAGTAGTAGTTGTAGTGTTAGTAGTAGTAGTAGTTGTTGTAGCTGTAGCTGCTACTTGCTTCTGTAGTGGTAGTAGTAGTAGTGGTAGTAGTTGTAGTAGTGTTAGTAGTTGTTGTTGTAGTAGTAGTTGTAGCTGTAGCTGCTACTTGCTTCTGTAGTGGTAGTAGTGTTAGTAGTAGTAGTTGT